TACCAGTTGTGTCATAATTACCTTTTGAAAAATACCAATAAATTTTAAAAAAATTCTTTGGTCCAATACTTTTGACCGGGGAGTGTACGTAGGCGAAAAAATAAACTAAGCAAATTTATGCAAGATATTTCTCTTGATTCTCTTTCCTCGTCATAAAACTGCTGCTCAATATTTTTTTACATGATGATGATATTCGGAGTAAGCAATTATGCAATTGGCAGGACACAAAAGTGTTGAAGGCATTATGCAGTATACAGTAACTAATAAAAAAAATTATTGAAAAACAAAGATCTTATACTTTAATTAATATTCTTATACATCTGGAGAAATTACGGCGAAGTTACGGAAAATTTTAAAAAAATTCCGTAATTTATCCGAGAAAATATCCATGAAAATATCAATAAAAAAAATCATGGGTGACTGTGGGACAAAATATTTTATTTAATAAATAACCAAGATTCATAGGATTAAATGTCATTCAATAAATTTAACAAGATCGAAATTGTAAATGTTGTGTCGTATATTATATATCGTTTTAGCAGGATTAAATATGTATAAAATATTTGATATTTCATCAAATAAGGAAATTGTTTGGTTTTCTTTTATGTTGTGTTATTTTCTTAATATTTAAAAAATGTATTAATTGCTTTGTTTCACATTTGCTTCTTACATCTTAAATTCCGAATATAGTATTTTCTTAGCTAATAATTAATCAGTGATTAGTTAATTTAAATTAAAAGTTACTTCTTATTTTAAAAAAGAAAAAAAAAACGATTCAAAGACGGAAAAATGTGCTTACATATGAATTCATGCCGATCATCATATCCGAATTACCAATTAAAAATAAAAATAAAGTTTCTAAATTTATTATTTCATGAACAAATAAAATAAATTAATTCATAATTCATTTATATTTTTAATTTATTATGCATGCGTGTGTCATCCCCTTATCTTTTTGTCTTCATGTGGTACAACTTTTTTTTTAAAGAAAACCCAATAATTTTATTATTTTTTTTTTTTTGCTTAATATACTATTTAATTATAACATTATAAAATAATATAAATTCTATCTTTTTTTTTTCATTCATTCGTTAAAAGAGTATTTTACCTTTTGATAAGCTAAAATATTAGATAATAAAGAGAGAGAATAATAATAAAGGTCTTGAGAATAATAATAAATAGAGAATAATAAAGAGGTCTTTTGGATATAGAAATTTAATTATGTCGAAGGACGAAAAATTTCCAGTTTTACAAGGATTAACTCAAAAAATAACAATAGTTTTATTCATATTTTTTTTATTTTGGAATTTATTAACTTTTCTCGTATATGATGGGGAAATAACCAATTCTTCAAAGTTAGAAGATAGTATACAAATTATTACATCAATTGAAATTATCACCTCAACAAATGTCATAACGTCAACTCAAGTCATCCAACCAGATGATGATAATGATGAATCACCATCTACCACCACCACCTTCGAATCCGTTGTTACATCAACTAATTTCGTCACCAAAACCAAAACCAAGTTTGTAAGTATTTATTTAAATAATAATTATTAATATATTTAATAATATGATTATGATATTGATAATGGATGATGATGATGATGATGATGATGATATAAATATTTCGAATTAATTTATAATTTATATCGAATTAATATTTATAATATTTTTTATTATATAATATTTATTACATAATATCGAATTAAATATTTGTTTAGATTAGATAATATTGAATTAATAATATTAATTATTATTATTATTTCTTTCTTTCTTATTTAGGCCACAAAAACATTGGAAATTTCAAAAAGTTCAACTAAAGTGAATCCCCAAGAAATCGAAAAGATGGAAGAAACTTTAATCGAAGATCCGGATCATTATGAAAAACAGGATGAATTAATTAATCAAAAATATTGTTACTCGACTGAATGTAAATTCTTATTTCCTTTTCATCCACCTGAACAAGAAACTCAATGTAATAAACATTTTCTTTCGTTCATTCAATTGGCTGAAAAATTAAATCGTACGTTGGTATTGACCAATGTTGGAGATTCAAGAATTTGGCAAATCAGATATTTTCCATTTAATTTTTATTATGATGTGGATGAATTACGAAATCGATTCCCGAATGTAAATTTCATTACTCAAAAAGATTTTCAAGATTGGTGTAGGGAGAAATATAATAAACCTAAAGCGTATTATGCTAATATCCTTAATCTTGAACCAAAATTTACCGTAAAACATTTATCACCATTTAAAAGTGTTAATGGTAGTGGTGGTGGTGGTGGTGGTGGTCTCTTTGCTAAATTAGAAAGGGAGGAAAAATTTTATGAATACGATTTCATATTTAATAATAAATCCTTATTTCGACAATTTAATATAGGAACTCGTAGAGTATATGGAAAAACTCGAGAAAAAGATTTGATGATAAAATTTTTTCAAAAAGAATTAAATATAGAAGAAGAAGTAATATTAATAACTCATAATATTCGATCCCCATTATTTAAAAATTTAATTCCTATTTCATATGCGAAACATTTGGTTAATTCAGCTAATAAAGTAATTAAGAATCAATTAAATGATAGATTTATAGGAATTCATTGGAGAATGGAACAAGGTAAAATTAATTTAATGTCAGATTGTGCTCATAGATTAGTAAATTATATAAATAATTTAACGGAATCAACGGGAATAAATAAGATTTATTTTGCAACGGATTATCCAATATCTGGAAATTCTAGTCAAGCTCAATCAGATACATTTCATCAAGTATTACCGGAACATCGAGAAGCGTATAAGATCGTAACCGAAGGAATTAATATTAAAACGTGGGTATCAACGTCAGCATTAGAATATTTACATAAATATCCCGAAATGAGTTTTGCGGTAGAAGATGAACTTCGTAAAGGAGGAGTACAAGGAATCATGGATAAATTAATATTAGTACAATCAAATATATTTATTAGTGGACCAGTTGAATGTTGTAGACATTCGAGTACTTTTACTCGAAAAATTATGGAATGGAGAAAAAGATTAATTATTAAAGGTGATAAAAGAATTGAAAATTTGGTGGATAGATGGGATGGTAGTAAACCGAAACCATGACATATAATAAATTAATTAATTAATAAATAAATAAATAATAATAATACTAATAATAATAATAATAATAATAATAATATATAATTTATAAAAATATGTAAACATACTTTTTTATTATATGTAAATAGATTTAGTTTAAAATAGAAAATTTATAATATAATAAAAATTATTTTTTTTCCAAACTTGTACAAGCAAAAATAATAAGTTTATTATGTTTATAAATGTTTAATAATGTTCTGAAAGTTTATGGTTAGTCAAAAAGTGTGATGTCAAGATATCGTTGATTATTTAATAAAAAGTAATGATAATAATGATTATATTTTTATTTTTATTTATTATTCCGATTATCATATCATATCAATCATAATGATAAATTTAATAAATTATGATAATTTTAAATAAATGAATGAATGATTAATAATGATAATGATTAATGAGTATTATTAATATATTTAGTATATTTCTTTTCATTATTTTCTGAAAAAAAAACTTCCTTTAAAACGTTAATAAAATTAATTAAACTTTTTTTTTTCACTCCAAATACAAACACAATCACCACAATGATGACATATTCTTTTTATTATACTTTTTTAGTGATAATGTCATATAACTCACTATTACCATAAATACTATTAATAACTTACGTGTATAATAAATTATATGATGTATTTGAGTTTCTTTTTGGCTCACTCACACGCACTAGTTATGTTTTTAGTTAGTTAGTTAGTTACGTAGATTGGTACGTTTACAACGAAGAATGGCGTGTTCACAATAGTATAGTATAAACAAAAGTATATAAATAATGATGATAAAAAAAAAAATAAATAGTTTATACATAACATATCGTGTTATTATATAAATTAAAATATATATATACTTTGTTATTTCTCTACTCACTTTCTTATCAAAAAAAAAAAAAAGAAATTTTCATATTTTCGTATAATAATAATAAGAATAAGAATTAGAAGAACGAGAATTAGAAGAACGAGAATTAGAAGAATAAGAATTAGAAGAATAAGAATTAGAAGAATAAGAATTATAAGAATAAGAATTATAAGAATAAGAATTAGAAGAATAAGAATTAGAAAAATAAAAAGAAGAATAAAAAAAAAAAAATAAAAAAAAAAAAATAATAATTTTGAAATGAATAGTAGTAATAGTATTATGAGAAATAGAACATTTGAAATGAATAATATTAACGATGGTGAAGAATGTGATTCCATCGTGAATGAGAATAATTCCATCACTTTCTATAATGAACCTCCTTTTAATCCATCAACAAATAAAGTAGCTGTTGATAGACAACAATTTACTAATTTCGTTTTACCCCCTTTACAACAACCACTCGTTAATAATCGTAATAACTGCAATATTGATAATTGTAATAATAATTGTAATAATAATTATGACAATAATCGTAATAATAATAATAATAATAATAATAATAATAATAATAATAATAATAATAATAATAATTTACCAACATCATTATCAATGACGTCAATGACATCATCATCAATTCAACCACGTATCGTTCCAAAACATCATCAAGAACATTTTCGAAATCCAAATATTCAATTATCAAATATTAATAATAATTCAACAAATAATTCTTCTTGCTTTCATCATTATCATAATCATCATAACCCACAATGTTCTTCTTCTCAATGTTCTTCTCAACAATGTTCTTTTTCTCAACAATGTTCTTCTCAACAATGTTCTTCATTGCATTCTTCATATCAAGCATATAATCATCCATCTTCTAATTTTCCACCTTCATATCTACCACATTCATGTCAATTTACTTCTCCTCCTCCTCATCTTCCTCTTCCATCTCCCTTTCTTCCTAATTATCCGAATTATTCGGCTTATTCAAATTATTCAAATCATTTTTCACCACCACCACAATCACTTCTACCACTTAAACCACTTCAACAATTTCAGTCACTTCCACCACATGAATCATCTTCTCATCACTATCAAATTCAACAAATTAATGGAACGAATGGAACAAGTGGAGTGAATGGGACAAATGGGACGAATGGAATAGTTTGCCAAATTAATGGAGCAAATAATGGAATTCAACAAATCAATAATAATAATAATTCTAATAATATTAATGCTAATAATAATAATATTAATAATATTAATGCTAATAATAATAATAATGATAATAGTAATAATAATAATAATAGAAATAATAGTAATAATAAAAATAATGATAGTAAAAATAATAATAATAATAATAATCTTATTTCAAATCATAATAATTTACAAAAAGAAAAACAAGCTTTACGTTTAGAACGTAATCGTTTAGCAGCCAAAGAATGTCGAGAACGTCGTAAGGATTACATTATCCGATTGGAAACTCGGGTTGGAAAATTTGAGGAGGAAAATGAAATCTTAAGAAAGAAGATTCGTGAAACAAAAATTCGGATTGAATTATTTGAAAAAAATTTATTGGAACGTAAAGAGTTGGAACAAAAGGTTTTAGAATTACAAGATGAATTATGTAAGATCAAAACGTAAAATAAATAAAAGTGATATTTGGCGTTTTAGTGTAGTTGATTTTTTTTCCTGTACCATTCATTATTGTTATTATTGTTATTATTATCATTGTTTATTATCATTATTATTATGTCATATTATTCTGTCATATTAAATATAATACGAATAAATAAAAGAACTTTTATTTTATTTTTTTTTTTTATTAATAATACATTTGTATACAAATTCAATATACACATATATGTATATATCAAGTAATAAAATAATGCTAAGCAAATATTTCTTTTTCACATTCCTCATTAAAATGACATGCATACGTTCTTTCTATTTTACAATACATTCGTACAGGTTGGTTTAAACCAACAAGGGAGCGATCAAACATTTAATTTCTTCCCATTTTATATTAGACAAACAATAACAACAACGTATTCCCAACCCAAAATATTTGCACAGACGTAACGCATTAAATCTATTAATTCACACAGACATTAACTTAACATATTAATTCATCGACATGTATAATCATACCGAAAATGATTATAATCAAACAATTGACATATGATTTCAACGTTCGAATTCGGGAATTTATTTAACACACTCTTCTAGAATATTTTAATAGTAATAATAAATAGTGATCTTTTTATATCTTAATATCTGGTTTTTTTTTTTAAAAAAAAAAAATAAAATAAAATAAAAAGAGATTATTAGCATTTATCATCCTTTATATTTTCTTTTAATCTTCGACTTCGATAATAATAAATAACAATTTTTCGGATAAATAATAATCTTCGATAATAATAATTTTTCGGATAATAATAATTTTCGATAAATAACAATTTTTCGGATAAATAATAATCTCCGATAAATAACAATTTTTCCGATAAATAATAATCTTCAATAAAATAACAAATTTTCGTATAATTAAAAAAATGTCTGTGATAAAAAATAAATTGTTGCTTATTTTTATTCACGGTTTTAAGGGACATGATACAAATTTTGAGGTAATAATAATATCTTTACATTATTTAACGTCTCATCTTTGAATTATTTTTTAGACATTTTATTTTAATCTTATTTTATTTTCATCTCCTTCCTTTCCCCTACTTAAAAATAATGATATAAAAAAATAATAATAAAAAATCAATAGGAACTTCCAGAGCATTTACAATTTTTCTTAAAGGAAACCAGATCAAATTTAGATATAGAATCAATAGTATATCCTACTTATAATACTAAAGGTGATTTTAAAGTGGTGGTAAATGAATTTTGTGAATGGTTGGAAATTATTGTTAAAGAACGTGAAGATGAAATTAAATTTGATTATCGTAACGATAGTGGACAAGTTTTGGTTTGTTTATTTGGACATTCTATGGGTGGAATTTTAGGTAATTTATTTTTAACTTTATTTACTTTGATTTTATCTACTGCTACATTTTCTTTATTATTACATTATCTAATTATAATCTAATTATAACATAATTAAATTATTATTATTTAAAGGTGCCGATGCAATTTTAAAATATAGAATAAATTCTTCCGTTATTCAAAATCCACCAAAGATAATTGGTTTAATTGGGTTTGATACACCTTATTATGGTCTTCATGAAGAAATCTCATCAATAGCAATTAAAAAAGCCACAAATATTACTCAATCAATTAGTCAAGGAATTTTTTCTCTTTCATCATCTTCATCGCTATCATCTTCCTCATTACCTAAATCATCTCCCTCATCATCCACATCATCTCCCTCATCTCTATTATCTCCTTCATCTTCCTTATCATCTAAATCATCATCTCCATCATCATCATCATCATCATCATCTCTAATATCTCCTTCATCTTCCTTATCTACATCATCTCTTTCATCTACATCATCTTCTTCATCTCTATTATATCCTTCTTTATATGAAAATTTAGAATCAAGTGGTTTATTGACTGGATTTAATGCTTTGGCAACTATAACAGTTGGTTGTGTTGCGGGAGTTGCGGGAATTGCGGGAATTGCGATTTTAAATAGACAAAAAATTTATGAATGGGTAGAAAGTCATTTAAAATATGTTGGAATTTTATGGAATTTTGAAGAATTAGAAAAAAGGTAATAAATATGATTTTTTTTTTTTTACTTTTGTTTTTACTTTACATATATTTTTTTCTCTTGTTATTATATAATGATTGTTATTATTATGATTATTATTATGTACTAACTATAGGATGGAAGATATAATAAGTTTATCAGACATTACTTTTCATTGTTTTTATACTCAGGTAAATTTATTATAATTATTATTATTTTTTAATTTATTATATTTTTTATTATTAATTATTTAAAAAAAAATTATTTTTAACGTTCCAAACAAACAAACAAACAAACAAACAAACAAACAAACAAACGAGCAATAATTTAATTTTCTCAATTATTTTTAATTTTATTTATTTATTTATTTATTTATTTATTTTTTTTTAAAACAGTTATTGCCAAATGAAGAAGATTCTTCTTCTTCATTTTTCACTTCCTCGTCAACACGTACATTTATTTCGTTACCACCTCCCAAAATGAAGAAATATTTTTCAACGATCGAGTGTAATTTGAAAGATGAAATTGATGCCCATATTGATATGTTTAAAGTAGAAACCGAACATTATCCTAAGTTTAGACAAGAAACCTTTCAAAAAGTTAATGAAATTTTAGATCATTGGGAAACGATGAGATTATCACAATTAGAATATTAATTTTATTAAAGGTATAGATAGATATAGATAGATGGATATGGACAATTATTTAAAATTTATTTTATATATGTATATTTATATATATTTTTTTCCCGGGCCGAGAAGGAATAATTATCGTGATGGTTACATTTATGAACTTTTTTTTTAATAATTCATACAAATTCCAATTAATTTCTTTAGGGAGAGTTTTTTTTAAACTAAAAAAAAACGACTACTAGTGTTTGAAATTCAATGTGTGTAATGTGCGCTAACACAAAATTTGAAAACTCAGCACATAAAAAAAAGGTATCCGCACAAATTTTTGCATATAGAATTCTAAATTATGTATATTCCCAACAGGATTTAAAATTTGAATTTCAAACACTGCCGACTACACATAAATATTATTTCAATAAAAGTGGGAATTAAATTATACATTTTACCATTTTCCTCTTGTTATAATTAAAATTATTTTCATCACCATAACATAAAATTATAATAATTATAATAACTTCAGATAAACAATAAAATTAAAAACTTATATATATATATATATGATTTCCTAATAATTTTATTCTACGTATCACATTTAACATCATCAAACTTCTAACCATCAGTTTTTTTTTTAAACTATTATAACGTAAACAATGTATCATATTATATTTATGCCAAATGTAATGTAATAGAAATGGTAATTCTGATAATATTATAGCACATGAATAATTCAATGGAATATATATATAAATAGTAAGTAAAAAATCATTTTATTGAAGAATCGACCTATAAATCTCCTCCCTCTTGACCCTATTATTAGTGTTGGCAACGGTCCGGATTCGTCATATACGGATCCAACTTTTTAAAATCAGAATCCGATTTTTAGTGTATTCGGATCAATCTGAATCCAATCCTTATACATAAAAATATTTGAATATTTTTGTGGATTCGAATATTTTTTATGGATTCGAATATTTTATATATAACTTTTTTGAATTTAATAAAAGTTAGGATATATAAAATCATCGATCATTGACACATATAAACTTTTTATTTTATAAGTGCATATCAAACACGGTACTAAGTAACCTTAAATATAAGAATAAATTGCATATCATATAAAAAGAACAGACCTATATCATCAAAATCGAGTGAATAATTGACATTTTAAAATTTTTATCCGTTTAACTTTAACTGTTCAAAATTCTCAATTTTAATTATATAGGCCTGTCCATTTTACATAATATGTAATTTTTTCTTGTCTTTATAGTTACTTAGTACCATTTTTGATACATACTTATTAAAATAAAAAGTTTTATATGTAGCAAAGATAGATGATTATTTTAATTAGAAGTATTTTCTAAAGTTACACTTAAATAGAGAACGAAAAAGTAATAAAATAATATTTATTTATTGTATCACAGGAGATCTTTCGGATCAATGGATCAATCTGAATCCTTTTTTGATTGATCCGAATTCATATCGGATTTCATTTTTTTTTTGGATTTGATCAGGATCCAGATCTGTAACAGTATGATCCGATTCGATTCGATACACGGATTGATTTGGATTTAAATATTTTTGCGGAACACTAGTTGATGGGCTGAAATACTGTATATTAAAATCATGCGATATTATTCGACTCATCAGTCCAATTGTCTTCGAAGCGATTTAACTGACCGTCAAGCTGAAACAATGACTTGAAATCCTCAGTCCTGTTCAGGAATTTTCAACTGAATGATCAATTTTATTAAAAATTATTTCTTTATTAATATAAATTATAATTTATCCAGCATTTATTATTTATTGCATATAAATCACTTGATAATTAATAAATTAAAATAAAATATATAATTAATAATAAATTTGATTTGTTATACAACCAATATAATTTAATTAGAGTAGATATAAAAAATGTAAATACATATTTAACAACAAAAAAAAAGAAAATTGGAATGCATATTACTATTTTTCCAACCTAATTAGTTTTCTTACCAATCTTAAATACTTCATAATTGATGATTGGAAAGTCTTCTTCTGATGATGATATACGTTTCTCATAGTAATAACTTTAACAGAAACAACTATTATCTAAAGTGAAATTCGATGCTGCATGTAGGATACATTGAGAACCCCGCATCGGAAATTTTTTACTTTGCTAAGAATTGAATTTGAGATATTAACATTTTTTAATGAGAAAATAAAACTTCTCTTTTGTTTCCATCCATTTATTATTCGATATTATCCCATGTTAAAGGGTTATAACCTCCGACAATTTCATTTTTTCCTGTGGCTTTCACTAAAATAACCATACAAACGTGACCATGGCAGATATTTCAAAATATTTGTGATGCAAATCCATCACGAGTTCCACATATGATTAATTTGATTATTTGTTGAAGTATATGCAGTTGTCTTACGATTAATCTATGTAGTAATTTCTATTGCATATTCTTTAGAAATGATAGTCGAAAAAAATTTTTTTGTACAGGGAGGTAAAAATACGTCTACACGAGGAGGTAATTCTATAATCAAAGATTTTTCTTCAAAGGAAGTAAAATCATCAGAATCAAAAATGAGGTTTGGATACTTTACAACAGTATCATTACAAAAATTTTCTAATTCTTAAAATTAAAGAAAGTATGATAAATAAGAGAAAAATGTGTTATTCAACCAGGAACCTTTTGTTTTCAATAAGAGTTTCTAATTTATTGATCAATTCCTCAAGTTCATATTCATCAACGATTTAAAATGAAATTTGTTTTCAGTATTTTCTAAATTAACAATTCTCCCATAGATATATCTAATAAGTGAAATTATTAAATAATAAATAAAATGAATTTCAATGCAAGTAATAATATTTATATTATTGTTGAACAGTAAATTACTGGATAACATTAAAAATTTGAAAAACTATGCAAAAGAAAGATAAGTTATCTCAAAATTTTGTTGAACCTCATAATGATAAAGATGATTATAGTGCAATCATTGAAGTAGAAAATAATGAAAAATCGTTTATGGCACATTCTAACGTATTGAAATTTCGATTGTCTTTCCGAAGGCAATAGGAAGTCACGAGTATTTACTATGATATCCCTTAAACGGTAAATAATGTGAATTGCCCGCATTTGTGACATCACTACCATTTAAGGGATAATAATTTAAGGAAAATCGCTCCTTTTGGGAAAAAGGAAATGATTTTTGTGTTATCAAAAATAAATTTTTATTTTTGAGTGTCGATTTTAGGAACATTAAACTTGTAAATTTAGAAATGAACTTTGCAGTGGTATGAAGATTGCCATTTCGTTTTTTATAAAAGTCCATTTATAAATTGGTAAAGGAGATGATTGAATTTTTAATGATTTTATTGTTTTGTTTTCATTTATCTCTTGTTTCTAGTTCTTTATCTTTTGAGGCTAATTTTTCTTTATAACTAATTACTAAATAGCTCATTTGTATGGAAATAAATTAAATTTTTATTTTCGTATGTGTTCTTTTTTCTTTATCTGAAAAACGACAAACTTGCCTTGAAAATTTGTATTTTTTAAATTGAGAGAATTCCTTGCTGATAAATAGTTTACAAAATTGAAATAATTAAAAAATAGTGATAAAATAAATAAATCATATAATTAGGGAGCTACCTATAAAAAATTTAGTTATAATTTCTACTTTTAAGAAATAGTTGCAGTAGGCATCACTGACTAGTACTGCTTGTTCTGGATAATTTATCACTAGTTGCATCCTAAAGATGTTATATTTTGTCACTTTATTTGTGTTTGGGTTCTTAAGAAATAGTGCTCTCAAGTTTTTGGTGTCGTATTGCCTTCAGGAGGTTGAGCTTCCAAAAAGATATTTTGTCTCTTGCACACATTAATTATTATTAGTGATTTCACAAAATTTTGTCAAATGGAATGATTTTTTTTTCATTTTTATTAGTAAATTAGTAAAGAAAATACTTTTACTGTATATGTATATGGAAATAATTGTTGGTCCTTTTTATTCACATCTAAATAAAAAGTCAAAGTCTTCATTAGATACTACGGAATGTGCTTTTAATTAAAGTTGTAGATACGATTCCATATAAGATAGTTGATATCTACCTTTAATAGCCATTAAGTCTGGCATGGGTAGCATCAAAGTGTAATTTATTATTTTTGGCAATTTTATTTGAAGTGGAATTTCTCTACATAAAAAATATATCATATGATATCTCTAGTTTATTAAAAAAGTTTGTGTAATTTAGATCACCCATTATGCACAATTTGCATTTTAAATTTAGTATTTTTTTATTAATCTCCAGTTGTCTGGTGACCCACTATACATAGACATATAAATAACACTTTATTTTCAATTAACTGTATTGTTTGTTTATGTTTCAATTATAAAAGTTAAAAAGAAAGTTAACTCATATTGATTTTCAGTTTACCTTTGCACAATTTATAAACTGTATAAACATAAATAATAAATAATCCCAAATATTTGCATTTTTGAAATATCAAGCCAATAATGATTTATTTTAAATGATTAAATACTGGTCTGCTTTAATTTAAGCAAAGCTATACTTTATAATTCCAGTGATCAAATAAAATAATAAAATATAAAATATAATAAAATAATGAATAAATAATTTTAGGGAAAATACAAAAGTTATACAATGACGCAATGAATCATGACTAAAAAATAAATTTTCCAAAAAATTAGTGTTCAATTCTTCAGAATTTCATTTTCTTTAATTTCTTCAACTATGCAAATTTAAAGATTGTTAATTTCTTTTAGATGAATTATTAAACAATTATCAAACAAATAATTCATGAAATATAATGCTCACTCATATCATTAGGAACTTCAAACCCATTGTTTTGTATCTAAAATAATAATGAATGTAAATATTATATATAAAAATGTTTATTTATTTATTGCTAAAAATATAGATAATTACCATGTGTATTGGTTCAAAATTTCTTTGATTTCAGGAAAAGCAAATGTCTGCTTGTATATATTGCTTCAGAATGCATTTCATTTGCTTC